GAGCTGTCTGTGAGTATGAGAGAGTGCCGGAGGGGAACTTTGCGATATGATTGATGTTTCTTAGTGTTAGGCCAGCATAATTCTGCTAATCATTGCAGCGTCTTCAATTCAGTCACAAGTAAGGCCAGAAATAATCCATCGTCATATCTGTCTGATGCGCTGAGAGCATCCATGACGCATTCCAGATCTTCCACAGTCAAAGGCTGCTTCCATTGGATTGGTTTTGAGAGATGATGTTTGCACCCTTTCAGCGTCCGTGTGACCAGAAGTGACTTGCGCACTTCGCGCACGTGTGGGAAGTGGGTCTCCAGACAATTAACGATGCCTGATATGTAAGAATCTACTGAGTGGGGTTTGATATGGTGTGATAGCCAGACAACGAAGAAGGAGACAGTGTCTTCTGTAGGTTCCACTGCACAATTGTGAAGGCGACAGAAATTAAGGTAAGAATTCAAGTGCGAATCATATGCGGACGTGGTCGTGGATTCAACTGCAAATCCAAGGGCTAGTGAGCGTTCTAGCTCCAACCGCTCCAGTGTCCAAGCTTCCCGTATGGGCTGCTTGGACCATGTCTCACTAGATATCATTTTTTCGACACTCCCAGCGCATCCCGAGGGGGTTCAAAGTCACAGATGTCAGCTGTCAGCACGAGATCCAACACAAGTTCGTTATGAAAATGGGACAGTGCATCTGCGATGACATTCTGCTGTCCCAGGATGTGTTGCATGCGAAGGTCCACTCCATATCTGATTAAGATGTCAACCACTGACCGCTGTAGAGACTCATGCCTCTCATGGCATGATATGGCAGTTTCCACCAAGGAGTACATAGCACGAACTTGTAGCGTCACTCTGTGCACTACCCACAGCTATCCCTATACGAGGTGCAGCTTTCCCACGCAATGCGCGCCATGTGCGCACACTTCCCGCGCTTCGCGATGTATATGCACGCGCGCTTTCCCGCGCTTGAGTGCCCTATAGCGCTAGCCATCCAGAAGCATCCATCCACTGTCCACCAAGCTCCCTAGTGCGTATATTTCCATTTCCTTTATTAGCATATTGTTCCACCTTTTTTTTATCATGGATTCTCACTCATATATATCTTTACATAACCTACTCGGTAGCGCTTCGGCTCCGAATTACAGTGCTTAGGCGCGCTATATAAGCGCCAGCAGTACATAGTACAACTTACTTTTCCTTCAACTGACTACTTACTACTCACTTACTACTTAGCAGAATATAGTAGAAATCTATTTGTTTACACTTCACATCACTCTTCTCTTACCTTGTATCATATCATCACTTAAGTTTAGTCTCTCTTATTTCTGCATATGTGCACCTTGTGTGCACCTGCGCTTTCTCGCGCTTCGCTTTGGTGCACACCTCTAGATCCTTGCTGCACTCACTTCCCCTTTAGGGTCGAATGCGCTTGTCATCTCAAGCATAGCAGACTAGGCAAACGCACGACCTTCAACATTTATAGATACAGTCTGGAGCATCATTTGTTCCTCTCTGTATTGTTGTTTCTACACCGCAACAATGAGTTGTACCCAGGTTTTGCCCGTAGCAAGTCAAACATCACCACGGTATTTGAGTTGTCGGTGTAGATTAGGAGTTTGTTTGGGACCTCTGTCATGTTCTCCACTGAATGGATAGCTGAACAGACAGTGAGTGCTTCGAAGAAGAATATTGTGTCGCGGGGAGCCTCAACTGGTAGGTGGCATTGACACGCGAATTGGGCATCTGGAAACCACAATCCTAATCCAATGCCCAATGCATCAGTGTAGATCACTGCGACGTCATCACTTGCTGGGTTAAAGTCTAAGCTTTTGAATAGGTATAGGCCATCAGCCCATTCCACATGGTTTGCGAGCCAGTGCAGCTCGTCAAGTAGTCCGTTATTGACATGTATCATAGCCAGTGCATCTGACTTCCCCCGGATTTTGTCGTAGAGCACCGACAACCCGGGTTTTAACAGAGGGAACACATTTAAGCTCCATTTGCACCATCCTGCAAGGCATTGATAGTCCCATAACGACCAACAGTGATTCTTGCGAGCAAAATGTCGCAACTCTGTGACGAGCGCATCCTTTTTCTCAGGTGGCAGCATGACCAACATTGTGTTTGGGTCGACGTCAAACCCTATCACTGTTAGAGTCAACCCAAAGAGCTTTTGCTCTTTCATGTGGTAAGTTCAGTTCATCCCACAATTGCAACAGGTGAGTTTGTTTTGCAGGGAAGTGGCAATCATATGGTGCATAGTATGCTCAATCATCGAGTTTAGTGAATAATCACCCGCTGTGTGATCAACGACTAATCGCAGCTTATCCAAGTTAGGCTTGGGCACAGTGTGCATCGGCACACTATACATTCCCGGGTAGAGTTTGGTACCGAAGCTCTCTGAAACACAGCCCAAATGTATCTCCTCACACATTTGATCCTCAATGAATTGTTGTTGGTCGTCGGTTTTTGAGCATGTATGTGAAGAGTTGTCATTAATTGAAGGGTACAAGCTGTCTGAGGTATCGGCCCATGGCCAGAAGCCTAGATGTAACACTCAACATATGGACTTGACAAAGGGTTGGTTTGGATGGTCTGAAAGGAACATTTGAAAGTGGTCGACGTTAATGGGTGTTACAATGCGAAACAAATCAGGATTCTGCGCAATCATGTGAGCAGCATCACTTCCTTCAACTTCATTCAACAGCGGCATAGGTACAGGTTCTGCGTACTCCATGGAGCATGCAGTGGGACTGAAAGATATATCTGTTGGTGACCAGATCAAACCCTGCCTATGACGTGGACGTTTAAGTGATGGTTCAAGTAAGTTTGGACTTAGACTCCTCGTGATGCTTTGTTTCTGTGTGCCGATGTGCACAGAGTCTCCTGTCTTGTTCGTGTGAGCAGATGTGTGTGTAACAACATGATTGGGCGCTGCGGGAACATTCTCCTGAATTCCACTTATGACAGGGCTCACATCGGTTGAAAGTAGACTTCTCTCGTGCAGGTGCACCGAGTTTAGAGGACTGCTTGTCTTCGTCAAAGTGGATGCCGTCGGACTGGAAGTGGGACTCATAAAGGTCGGTAAAGGCTGCGAAGTCTGAAAGTTCAACTCTTCGTGAATTTGTGGCTCTATTCCAGACAGCTTTGTCAAATCTAATGATCCTCTCATGCGTTCACTGGAGTCTGCGGTCAAACTTGTCATTGATATATTCTCTGTAGGAGGCAAGCTCATCCTCTCAATGAGGGAACACAAATTTAATTGCTCTAGCAGCTCTGTTCCATGCTGCAGACCACTGTGTAGCGGAGGTGATTTTCTTGGAGGTTGCTTCCGAAGTTCCGGAGAATTTGATCTCAATATCTCCAAGTGTTTCTGTGCATTTGTCAATGGTTCGCAAGGAGGAGATGATGGAGTGAACTGCGTCGAGGTTGATACTCTTTCCAGCAATGATCTCCGCCCATCCAGCTTCATGAAATTTGGGACAGTAGCAGTGATACATGAGTTGACGTCGCACTTCTTTGGGATCTTGCAACCAATTGAGGAGGATTTCGTTAGTGCGTGTAAGATTTGCGGAGAGTTGACCTCCACTGAATGACTGCTCTGCACGTTTGAGACAGGTAAGGTCAAGTTTGGAGCGCTTTTGAGCAGGTTCTCCTTGCTCAAAGCTTTGCTCTCGCTGAAACTCATTCTCTCTAGGAGGGATAGACTCCCTGTCTTCAGATTGTCGCACGACATCTGGTTCCCGCTGTCCCCTGCCCAGTTCGAGATCTCTGGACCATTCTTCGACCATGTTGAAGTACGGAGTCGCGACGAAAGACTCTGCTTGGTCCGTGGCTTCATCTGATGCTGATGCGATAGCCTTGGTGATTGAGATGAAAGCTTCTTGTTTAGAAATGATGGCGTGCTTGTAGTTTTCAACAATGTTGAGGCACCTCTCCACCAACTCTTGTTGGGATAAAGACGATCTTGAAGGGTTGGTTTGAGCCAAAGTCCCTTCTTGTCCGGGTCTAGAGAGAGTGTTAGATGAGACATTTTGAGAGGTGGACATGGAGGTTAGGACAGAATTGAAGTTAAATGAAATTCAATAAATAGCTTAAATTATGGCGCAGAGTGTGCACGAGCAGATGGTGCTCAATGTTGGATGACTGCAAAGACGAAAGATTGGTTCATCTTGAAGTCCGAGTCTGTGCTACCAACATTTAGGAGACCTGGTCACAGGTATACGTCAGATATGACAAATGTATGCACAGACCAGTGGACTCGGCCTGGGCCGAGTGCGATCGTTGATTCAACTTGTTTAAACCTATTAAAACTCGATTCAAAAATGAGTGGCCTTTTTTTTCTTAATTCACTGCCTGGTCCCAACTTGAGTATCAGGAATAGTTTATTATTATTATTTCATACTGTTGCAATGGTAGAAGTTCACAATTTGTAAAGATTACATCAGGAAAACGACAAGTTCCTTATTTCACCTTATTGTCACTTTTTCACATTCAATAAGGTGAAATAAGCAAAGGCTAAAATAAGTGGCCATGAAGCGGAAAAAGGCCACTCATCGTCTGAATTCTCACTTATTTCTGACTTAGTTTACTTTTCGCATCAGAAAAAAGGCATTGTCCATTCAGAAAAGCACGACACAAAAGCAATTAAGCAAGATAAAACCAGAAAAAAATGAACGTGAACTGATAGTCGGAAAGCAGTACCAGTAGTCTAGTACTGGTAGAAAATAGCACAGGATGGGATGTATAACAAGTGGTGATAATAGTAGTCCGCCAAGCAAGTTAAGGATGGTATCAGAAGGCCCATGGACAGACGCCATCAGAGAACAGCTCTGCCAAATCAGCAAAATCAGCAAAATATATAAAAAAAAAAATTTGCAAACAAAGACAGAGGCACAGCTTGAATAAGATAATGTCATACATACATAAGAAGGCACGGTCATCGTCAGAGCTCTCAGAGATGCCTGCATCCACAGCGTTACTTTCATTCAAAGCTGACCGCGCCATGTCTACTGTGGTTTCGACGAAGTCCAGGCCCTTCTTCTTGATGCTCTTCATGTACCCAGTGTTCGCTTTACCCCAGAGATCACGTGAAAACAGATACGGAGCGCTTGTCACCTTCCCAGTGACCTTGTTGAGTACTTTGGGAAGCTTGATGTTCAACTTGCTGTGTGCTGAGGTTGATGCTAAGATGTCCTTGACTTTGATATCGCCATCTGAAATCAATGTGATGGCACGCTCAAGCTATGTGAATTATTTGAGTGGGACTTGGAGCATTGCTAACAAGAAAATGAACAGACCGCTGTAGCACAAAATACAATAACACCAGCGATCCCTTTTGTTGCAAGGTCCTTGGTTTTCAACGTGGGAATGGTAGCATGGCCATTAATGGTGCTAAGGTGGGCCTTTCCAAGGAGCTGCAGCATAAATGCAGAGTGGAACGCCCTGTCAGGCTCGCGCTTGTCCATGTCCTTGAAGATGAAGGCGAAATTCTTCAAGAGGAGCCCTGCAAGAACCTCTGGGTCACAGTCATTGTTGCTCGTCAGAAAATCAAAGATGATTGCAATGGCCGTAGAGCCGAAGTTGCTCCGCCACTCGGAAAGCCGTTGGACAGTCTGTGAGTCAGAACAGATAAGTAGTAAGGAGGTGTTGTAGACATCTGGCATGACAAGAGCGTATGAGTGAGAAAACAGCACCGTTCTGAACAATGACAAGGTTAAGCTCCAGGTAGACTGCCTGAAATGCAATTTGGATATGTGTCAGTAGAGTTTCATCTGGGATGCTCCAGAGGGATTCTTGGCTGCCAGCCCACAACATCATTGTTGGAAGGAATTTTTTAGCCCAACGGTGGTCTGTTTGGACTTGTTCAGGAAGGTCGGTGTTTCGATATTGCGCTCGAGGCTTCAAGTTGTCATGTGGCGTGTCAACATTGACTGACTGCTCCTTGGGCTTGGCAGGAGTAGCGTGAAGAGATGTTGAAACCTTGAGTGATTCTACCTTTGCCTTCTTAGTGAGAGCAGGTTTGACGTCTGTGGTCACGACTGATGTCTAATAAAAAAATTGCATCAGAAAGGACAACTCTATATCATTAAATTCTCACTGAGCTTGTGGTACGGGGGGGCTTTCCAGGCTTCACTTCATACATCAGATCACTCTTGTCTGGTAGGTCGATTTCCATTGTATTGTCAATTAAAGGTGCAGTGAGTCTGATAGCATCAATGTCAACGATCAGTGTTGACTCACAGGCATCAACCAACAAAAAATCTAAATCTTCAATTTCACTCCCTTCAGAGGCCTTCCTTTTGAGGTTGCCAACTGCAAAGGAAGCCTTAGGCAAGCCTACTGGCGAAGGCTGGGTGAACGGAGCACGAAACTCTGCTGGAATCTCCAACTCATCATCAGAGTCATCAATGGTGAGAGTCAGCACCGTCTTTGAATAATAATGTCAGATGTTTTTCGAAAGCTAAAAATTAAAACATTACTGCTGCAGCTGACCGCCCTTCCTTGGTAGTGATTCCATGTGCAGCCAGGCATTCCAATTTGTCAATCTCATCCTCATCCTCGTCATCAGCAAAACCTCCTGGTATATTCTCATCTACACCTGAACATTGAGGACTGTTAAAAATACCAGTTGGGATTTCACTGTGAGTTGTCTTGGAAGAGCCCGTAAGACGAGAAAAAACTGTTGAAGGAGGAGGCAATGTGTGAGTCACATGACTCGGCGGTGCATTCTGGTTCTTGATGGGTATGTCGACGTCTGAGACCCAGCTCTTAACTTTGCTGTGAAGAGTATACTCAGGCTTGTTCCTATGGTTCAAAGTTAAATTGAGGAAGAACATTGTTTATTCAGTGAGCAGGAGCATGATGAGAAGGTTCAGGGAAACCCACACTGTGACATCCATTGAGTCGCCCTTCTTATGGACACGTGCATCCTTATCTCCGCCATCAGCAGAAGTTGTCTGTTTGATTTGCTCACACGCTTGATTGACAGCATCCTTCATCGAAACTTTGGTAATCTTCTTTTTGGAGTCATCCTTGAGACCCATCTGCACATGAGCCGGTAAGAATCTCTGGCTCTTGATTCAAGTTGGTTCTGACCTCATTGCCTTCACCATAGGCTGCTGTGACATCCGCCTGACTCAGACCATCCTTTACAGCCGCTGTAGAGACTCGTGTGTCTCATGGTTTGATATGACAGCTTTACACTAGGAAGTACATAGCATGAACTTGTAGTGTCACTCTGTGCGCTACCCGCAGCTATCTCTATATGAGGCGCAGCTTTCCCGCGCAACGCGCGCCATGCGCGCACCATTCCCGCGCTTCATGATGTATGCGCGCGCGCGCGTTCCCGCGCTTGCGCACCCTATAGTGCCAGCCATTCAGATGCATCCATCCACTGTCCACCAAGCTCCCTAGTACGTATATTTCCATTTCCTTTATTAGCATAGTTCCACCTTTATTTTTATCATAGTTTCTCACTCATATATATTTTTACATACCTACTCGGTAGTGCTTCGGCTCCGCATGACCGCGCTTAGGCGCGCTATATAAGCGCCAGCAGTACATACTACACTTTACCTGACTTTTACCTCCCAATTACTAGTTATCACCTACTTACTACTTAGCAGAATATAGTAGAAGTCTATTTGTTTATACTTCACATCTCCCTTCTCTTTTCTTGCATTATATTATCACTTGAGTCTAGTCTTTATCATTTTCCGCATACGCGCGCGCGCTTTCCCGCGCTTCGCGCTAATACGCGCGCGTGTTCCCGCGCCTTGCGCGCACCTGCGCTTTCTCGCGCTTCGCTGAAGCGCATACCTCTAGATCTTGGCTGCACTCGCTTCCCCTTTAGGGTCAAACGCACTTGTCTCCTCAAGTAACGCAGGCTAGGCAACGCACGACCTTCAACTATTATAGATACAGCTAGGAGCATTATTTGTTCCTCTCTGTATTGTTGTTTCTACACCGCCTTCTTGCCTTTGGCGGGAATTGAACGAGGCCGAACTCCCTTAGCCTTCCTTGCCAGCGTGCTCGTCTGTTTGGCTTCCATCTCCAGCTCTATACCAGCAATGCACTTAGCTCCTGCTTCAACAGCTGCGGCCTGTGCTGCAGCCTGCTCTGCCTTTTCTGCTCAAGCAGCAGCAACTTCTTCGGCTGTATGTCGGGTCTTCTTTGCCTGCAAGAGGATCGCACCAGGATGTGCAATCGCATTGGAGGGACGAGTACGATGAGTTACGGTAGTGTCAGCAGGTTGGGAAGGCATATTGATATGAAAGATGCGGGTGAGGAGCTGCAAGTGAGATGGGCAGAAATTTGCAGGTAGCAGAGAGCGGCAGGAAATGGTCTAGGTTCGGTGAAAACTTTTAAGTGTGTTACCCTTATCCCAAACACAGACAACGTGTTATTGATTACGACCATGGCACTCAGGCTCGAAGCATGGTTTACTTTGGACCGAAACCATATTTTCTTGGTGCTAAGCATAAACTATGTACGTGCCCCGTTTTTTCATGCTTTTACACACAGTTGATATTCTTCAAAGGAACTGGAACTCTCGACCAGACCATAATGCACTCCAACTCCCTTGTGGACGCTCCAATTGTCAGCGCTATTTCAAAACTCAAGCGGGACGAACCAAACATTGGAATTCAGCCCATCCTACAATCACAAAGCCACCTAACTCTTACCGTGCCAGTGTTTCTGAAGAGCCAGAAGAGCCTTACTATCCGGCCCCTGTGCAACCACATGAGCCACAGTTTGACTTTCAAGAAGTCGAGAACGATTGGTTGAATCTGACAGGACATGATGGGATGCACAACTCACCAGCTCCGAGAATTGACACTGAGTTTTGGGGGCCAGGAGACTGCTTATATCGGAACTTTCACAAGGACCTTGATGGTAAATGCTTCACTTTGTTATTAGATCAATTTTCTAACAATGTACATTCTTTTAGCCCGCCCTTGTGATGATAATGGTGTGTTTCTCCCCCCTGGAAGCCTACCTAAACCACTCTCTGATAAATCCTCCTCTGACTGGACTCCTTACCGAAATCGTGTCGAATTTGAAATGGCAGAGTATTTATTTACCGAGAATCAGACGCCTGCAGGTCAGATCAATACAGTGGCTCAAAAAAGTGTCCCAATGTTTGTAGGTTTTCATGTAATTGTGTTATTGCGAGCCAGGGTGTGAGAATCTGACTAAGTCAAAGGGAGGTCCCAAAAGGCTCCGCTTCTCGGCTACAATTATGTCCCCTATAGCGTGAGAATCCATTGACGCCGTGCGAAGATATGGCTATTTTAATTAGGTGACTCATTGGGACACTTTTTGAGTTTCTATTAAAATATGAAAATCAGATCATTTAGACATGACACCATTTACAAATATATATATAAATGGTCCCATATTGACAATATGGTCTCATTTTAATATCCTGTACATATATAAACCCTTCCAATAACATCATGTCCCTCATAATCAGCATGAAGTCTATTTCCTCTTCTCAAAGAGATAATATCCTTTTTCTCTCCACCTCTGGTCTATCTATCAGGCAGATTGCCTCCAAAACTGGTCTGGGGAAGTCAACTATTGCCAGGGTCATCAACCAGAATATTCCCAACAAAGAAAATGTCAAAATGGGTCGTCCTTCTAAACTTACTCTGCATGACAAAAGAGCTCTTGTTCATCATATTATATCTGGAAAGGCCTCTACTGCTGTTCAAGCCACAAAATACATCAATTCCATCATCACTACCACTGTCTCCACTCAAACAGTCAGGAACACCCTCAAGGAAGCCAATCTTAAAGCTGTAGTCAAGAAGAAGAAACCCCTACTGTCACCAGCCCATAGGAAAAGGAGACTAGCATTTGCTTTAAAGCACCAGCACTGGACTATAGAGGACTGGAAGAGAGTTATTTGGTCAGATGAAACTAAAATCAATAGGATGGAGTCAGATGGTCAAGAGTATGTTTGGAAAAAGGCAGGAGATCCACTTGGAGAAAAAGAAGTGAAAGGTACTCTTAAGTTTGGAGGAGGAAATATGATGGTGTGGGGCTGCATGGGGTGGCATGGGGTGGGAATTCTATGTGAGGTGGAGGGGAGGATGAATGCAGAGCAGTATGTCTCCATTCTGGAGGAGTGTCTGCTCAAAAGCATGCAAGAATCAGGTATTGATGAAGAAGACATTATCTTCCAACAAGATAATGACCCCAAGCATACCTCAAAGTTGGCCACCAAATGGTTTGAGGACCATGATATTACTGTCCTATCATGGCCAGCACAGTCTCCAGACCTCAATCCCATTGAACATCTTTAGGAATTACTCAAGAGAATGCTTGCTGCCTATCAAGACCCACCTAATGGACTATTTCAGTTATGGGAGAGAGTTGTAGTAGAGTGGGGAAAAATTGCTAAGGAGGAGTGTCAGAAATTGATAGAAAGTATGCCTAGGAGGGTAGCAGCAGTCATTAAAGCTAAGGGAGGAAACACTAAGTACTAGAATTATAGAGATTATGTATAATTGATTCAAACTCAAAAAAGTGTCCCAATGAGTCACCTAATTAAAATAGCCATATCTTCGCACGGCAGTCAATGGATTCTCACGCTATAGGGGACATAATTGTAGCCGAGAAGCAGAGCCTTTTGGGACCTCCCTTTGACTTAGTCAGATTCTCACACCCTGGCTCGCAATAACACAATTACATGAAAACCTACAAACATTGGGACACTTTTTTGAGCCACTGTAAACTCCTTGATCTCTGGGCCTCAACCCTCAAGAAACATGACGACAAGCCTCCATTTGCTGACTTTCGTGACCTTTACAAAACCATCGACAGAACACCGCTTGGGGATGTGAAGTGGCAGTCATTTTCAGTTCGCTACAATGGTGAAAAACCAGACACTGATGCACCACTATGGATGGATCAAGTCTTTGACGTCTGGTACCATGATCCACGAGAGGTCATCCGCAACATGCTTGCAAATCCCGACTATGCCAAAGAGTTTGATTACAGACCCTACTGCAAGTTCTCAACTGATGACGACAAGCATCAGTGGAAGGACTTTATGTCTGGTGATTGGGCATGGGATCAGGCCGTAAGTCTTTCAATTTCTTGATCACTCCTTTGAATCTAACAATTGCTGCCAGGACATAATCTCCGAAGATCCAGAATCACATGGATCCATGTTCGTACCTGTTGTTTTAGGCAGCGACAAGACTACAGTTTCCGTTGCAATGGGAAACAACGAATATTGCCCGCTCTATGCATCTATTGGCAATGTTTGCAATAACGTTAGACGAGCCCACCGCGACGCAGTTAGTATTATCGCCTTTCTCGCTATTCCCAAAAGTAAGCTTGGTTTTTCTTAAATGTGCTGTTTGCTTATCTGAGTTAGCAACGAAGGAACATGCGACTAGTGATGTGAAGTTCCGAAAGTTTCGCCGGCAATTGTTTCACTGTTCACTCTCCAAGATTCTCAAAACACTTCGTCCTGGTATCACCAAGTATGAAGTTGCACATTTTGGTGACGGACATTTCTGCCGTGTGATATATGGTCTGGGAGCATATATTGCTGACTACGAGGAGCAAGTCTTATTGACATGCATCGTGCGTGGTTGGTGCCCAAGGTGTGTAATTGTTTATTTCTTTAATCTACTTAAATTAATGATTGTACAGATGTTTGTCTTCACATATCAATCTAGACGAGCCAGCCGGTTGGCGCTGTCGTCATCATACAGATGTGCTTGTCAAGGAGGGTACTCTCGATGCCTTATGGGACGAATATGGCATTGTTGGTGATCTCATTGTAAGCCCTACCTTTCGCACTATGTTTCATGATGCGTTAACACTTTATATCAGCCCTTTACGAATGATTCTGCTCGAGCTGACATCCATGAACTCATTGCCCCCGATATCCTTCACCAGCTTATCAAAGGGACGTTCAAAGACCACCTGGTTGATTGGATCGAGAAGTACCTATACCAGACACACTCGAAGAAAGATGCTGAGCGCATCATAGATGATATTGATCGAAGGTAAATGATTCATTTCATCATGGGTACTATCTATTGAACTAGTTGTGTCTAGAATCGCTGCTGTTCCAGCCTTTGCTGGTCTTCGGCGCTTCCCACAAGGACAAGGCTTCAAGCAGTGGACGGGTGATGACTCGAAAGCACTTATGAAGGTATGTTTCTTGTGTATCAGACTGCTAATATCTTACTGACATATTGTTATAGGTATACTTATCTGCTATTGAGGGATATGTCCCTGTGGATATGGTCTGGACATTTCGAGCCTTTCTCGAATTTTGTTATCTTGTCCGACGCAGCATAATCACAGAGAAGATGCTCGAGCAAATCCAGGAGGCACTTGACTGGTTTCATCGGCACCGGCAAATTTTTGAAACACTCAACGTTATTTCGACATTCTCACTCCCTCGCCAGCATTCCCTTCAACACTACATACACCTCATTCGACTTTTTGGGGCCCCGAATGGTTTATGCTCTTCGATCACCGAAGCTAAGCATATCAAAGCAGTGAAGGAGCCATGGAGGCGCTCCAGTCGGTACGAGGCGCTGGGCCAAATGTTGGTCACAAATCAACGCCTTGACAAGCTCGCAGCATCGCGCGCTGATTTTACTCAACGCAAAATGCTTAATGGTACGTGCCTTTCTGCAGCTGTCCTTGAAGTGGGTAAGTAAAATACTATATTGTTATTGTACTCTCACTGATACTCAAATAGAACGACTGCGCGCCCTCAATCTCACGGCACCAGATGAAGCTGCCAACACTCAGGCTGTCAATACCACAGTGGACAATGACAACGACAATGATAACGAAGTTGACGACAGACCAACAAATGTCAAAGCGCACGTGGAGTTGGCCAAAACACCTCGTGAGTCATTAAGCACCTGTCACTTTCAAACTACACTAACATATGATTTAGAATATAAATGTGCTCGCACCATTGCTGCATTAGCAATTGAATTATCAATCCCACATCTCAGGCTCTTGAATCTTCTGCAACACTTTCTCTTCGGTCAACTCAACCGCAACGATCCCCATGATCCATCAGAGGTTCCCCTAGCTTACTGTCTCCAATTCAACGACAAAATCAGTGTTTTCAACTCTGCTTGTTCAAGATTTTTTGCGCCAAGTGATCTCAGCGGTATTGGGGGCATGCGCCATGAGTATATTCGTGCATGTCCGATATGGAGAAACGAGCATCCTCAGTTTGATTGTGTCTTCGTCAACACGAATCCAGGTCTTGATGGTATGAGGGGCATGGATGTCGCACAAGTACTGACATTTTTTTCTTTTACTTACAAGTGAAAATTATACTCATGTGCAGTTGTGCGGTGGTTTGATACCATTGGAGACTTGCCAAACGAAGACACTGGAATGTGGGTTGTACAGCCTGCTCATAATAACAACAACACGCCCCATATTTCTGTCATACATATTGATTCAATCTACCGCACCGCAGACCTTATTCCTGTATATGGTACTCGAGTTATTCCTGCGCAACATCACCACCATCAGACCTATGATATTTTCCACCGTTTTTATGTTAACAAATATGCAGATCATCACTCCTTTGAAATTGCATTTTAGACTTTTTTCGGTCTAGCATTTGCTTATGACACTTGTTTCCAGCTTTTTTGAACTTCGCACATGAACTTGTTTAGAAGCTCGAACTGCTTTTTCACAAGTAGAAAAAGTGATGATTAAGTCGGCTGAAAAATCTTCCCAACAGAAATTAAGTAACATAAGGTGAAATAAGGAACCTGTCGTTTTCCTGATGTACCACTTCAGGAGAGGATTTGAAAATGAAAATAATCAGTACTCTGTGTCACTTACTGGTAACAAATTTCTGTTTTTATGTTTTCAAACATGTCTCTTAGGTTTATAAAACATATTGGAACACATGAGTTTGGATCAGGCAGTGAATTAAGAAAAAAAATTGAAAAAAAGGCTGAAAAGACGTGAAAAGTCCAAAAAAGTCTGATTAAGTTGAGGTTTTACTGATGCCTACCTATATCATTTCATCATTGAATGTCTGATTGCAGAGCCTCAGAGGCGCATTGAACACGTTTGTTTAGGCCCGCTCCGATCGACGGCATTTCGCATGAAGCATTATAATCGTCACATACTCTCAAAAGTCTATCGTCCAGTCGCCTTTCTGACACGACGTACTACCCGAATTCGAATGCAATGCTACGTAGACGCATACTACACCTAAGTCTATACCGGAGGCCGCCGAATCATTTTTTCCGCAAGCATCGGCGTTTTTCCCAAAATGGACAGGCATTCTTTCTGCGTTAGGCTTTGACAGTAATCTTATGGCAACCACTGGCAGAATCAGCGAGGTCATGTTCCAGCACGAATGAAGGCATGGCGTACTAACGGCTTGCTCGTGATTGGATAATGCGGTTACTGCACGGTAGCAAGTACGGCAGGTGCAAGACGTTGCCTTGTGGATCTGCGCTGAGGTACCCTGTATTTTGAATTTTGAATTTTATATTTGACCCGCACCCCCGTTTTTCGCATGCTCAGGTTAACGTGGCCTAACGAAAGCAGTCGTTCTTGCAATTCATCGCAGTCTTGGTCATACGATTCGTAGCGTACGTTGCAAGTCCCCGTGGCCCGTGGGCGTAATGTTGGCATTTCACCTGGGTGAAGGTTATAAGATGATGAAGTAGTGAATGGCGGCCTGAAAGTAACCCTGCATATCAATGTCTCACCCAATCCTGTCAGAATTCGATATCGTTTTTGCTGGAGGTGAGGAAATAGTCTCTTGTGGTGGTTTTGCCTCTTCACACATTATGTATAGGTGGTACTACAGCCTGTGTTGTTGCAGGTCGCTTAGCTGCATGTGATCCCTCGCTGAGGATCTTGATCCTGGAAGCGGGTCAACACACCCTCAACAAACCTATTCATGTACAACCCTACCAATATCCCTTTAACCAAGCAACGACGAGCACCACGGTCACATTCCACATCGGAAATCCATCTCCTCGTCTCAACGGCCGTGCACCAATCGTTCCCTCCGGTCGTTGCGTTGGTGGATGCTCGTGTGTGAATCGTGCGTAGCATACTTGTAACGATGAATACGACTCTGATGATGAGACAGTCATGGTATACACTCGTGCACCTGCTTCAGACTATGATGATTGGGGAGTCAATGGTTGGGAATCTGAAAATTTGATTCCCCTCATGAAGAAGGTCTCGAATGCGTTTTCAAGTTATTTGTTCGAATTACTGATACTTTCGATCTATAGCTAGAGACATATGAAGTGCAGCCCGGTCGTTCAACTCACGGCTATAACGGGCCTATCAAGGTGTCCTCTGGTGGGTGTGAAGTAGGTATCTCCGACGAGTTCATTCAGGTCGGCACGACCTATCACAAGAGGCACTATGCCGATGACACCAATGATTTGGAAACATGCAATACATACAGTGTGAGCTATGGTGTTTCTTTCCTAATGGCGATCACTAATCAGATTTGTTTTAGCCATGTAGGAAGTGAGTTCCTGCACTCGTAGGCTTTGCTTATTTTTAGCTCATGTATGAAAGGTATATTGACGGGACAACCGGAAGGCGTTCGGACGCGGCTCACCACTATGTCTACAACCAAGCTCACAACCCAAATTTACAAGTCTGGGACGGAAAGCGCGTGAAGCGTATCATCTTTGAGTAAGTGAGTGCCTGAGATCGCAGCTGCAACAAACCATTGACGTCTTTTACAAATGAAAGAGACAAGCGTGCCGTAGGTGTCGAGTTCACCAGCGACCCGGTATCTTGTCCAGACGCGGATCAGTCGTCGAGTATTGCGAGAGCATTGAAGCTCGTTGTTATTTGTGGTGGAGTATTCGGTTCCCCGACTATTCTGGAGAGGTCTGGGATCGGTGCCGAGGCGGTTCTCAAGCGATGCGGTATCCAGCAATTGGTGAATTTGCCTGGCGTCGGAGAAAATTATCGAGGTGCACATTTATCTATCTATCCTATGAGCTTGACTTAGAACGGTCAGATCACAATATGGTCTTGGTTCCATACTTGGCTGCCGACGAGGTTGTTACCATGGACGCTCTCTGGCGCGGGGAGAGTATTCTACAGGGTAAGCATGTTCTCCCTATGATTCCAGCAATTTACAACTACCCAAATGTAGAAAGTCTTGTAAAATGGAACAGCAGCGGAAAGTCATTGATTGCACAAAAGTTAGTGCAAGTCATCACTGCTGGTATTGTGCTGATTGGTATCTCAGTGGCCTCGATTCAAAAATCAAGTGGCGTCCTGATGATGAGGAATTGAAAGCCATGGGTCCAGTTTTTCAACCACGCTGGAAGGAGTTCTTCCAGGACCGCTCAGACAAGGCTGTTGCAATATTTGCTGCTATTGCGGGGTGGGTGATTGCTTGACTTTGATGATATGGAAATACTCATAACAGTTAGATATGCTCCACAGCTCTCGAGGCCTCTCTCGATTATCCTTCCTCGTAACTACATGACCGCTAGTTATTATACAGTACTGCTTTCTGTCTACCCCATGGTTTTTTCTGAATCTCTTTGATAGCTTTACCCCGCGTCTGTTGGGAGCGTTCATATCAATGTAACAGAGAACAACAAAGAAGGAATTGACTTCACCACAGGCTTTCTAGATGAGTGAGTGGACACATTTCATTTTAGGGCACTTGTGTAACTCTGATACTTGATACTCCGCACAGTTCATCCGATATTGTTCCTCTTGACTTCGGGTACAAAAAGACACGCGAAATATTTCGACGCATGGCTTCCTATCGAGGTGAAGTCGCTGCTGACCATCCTGATTTCCCAGAGGGAAGCGCTGCAGCTTGCGGAGAAGCGTCTGGGCCAGTGGACATAAATGCACCTGACATTGTCTACACTGCCGAAGATGACGAGGCGATCAGTCAATTCCACCGCAACATCGGTAAGTCTCGACTTGCCATCTCTATATCACGGCGAAACACTAAATTAACATCAGTGCAAACGGCATGGCACCCGGTGTGTGCAGCTAAACCTTCCATAATTTCATATCTGATATTTGTATTTGTAGCTTGGGACTTGTGCCATGAAATCAGAGGCAGATCAAGGAGTTGTCGACGCTCGGCTGAATGTATATGGTGTGTCAAACCTGAAGGTCGCAGACATGTCCATTTCTCCATTGAACGTTGGCACGGTAGGTACTGAACAGGGGAGTGTTGATGTGCGATCTAACAATATATACAGAATACGTACTCTACAGCACTTCTCATCGGAGAGCGGGCTGCAATGATCATTGCCGAAGACTTGGGTATCGATTGCGTGGACCTGACCAGGGCCCAGTTTAAGTGAACTCTCGTGTGTCATTACATGCGCGTACTGAGCTGAGCTCGATTTATCACACGTCCCATCCAAGTGTATTTTATCTCGTAAAACACCACACAATCATCCATGTCTTCAGGAGCGAGCCACGGTACTTTATTTCTTGTTTGTTAAAGTTTCAGTGGTTACAAGAATGTAGAACCTCATCTGCCTGAATGTTAGCACGTTTACTCTCAGAACAAGCTTCTTTTAATGAGGCTTTGATGATATGGTAATACTCATGACCACGACGACAGATGAGCAGTAAGCGGAATACATTTCCCTCGTTCCGTTGAGGTAGTGTCTAGGATCCCAGATCCAATTTCCATTTCAAATTCACTTCCGTACGTTCAATACGTTAAATATTTAGGTACCAAGACGAATAAACAAGAACCGAATTCATATCGAGAATCTTTCTCCCGTTTCACAAAGTACTGCTAGTTGATACTGACGCTCTCCTGGAAATCGATTGAAGTCACAGCAGTTGCTGCATCGGATTGGGCCACAAGCCTGGCATGATATTCTCGAATGCTTAGGATGAGGCGTGGTCCCAGTACAAACATCTACGTGAGCATAAATATTTCAGAGAAACCACTATAAGTTTGAGTCTCCGCGGAATTTGAGGACTATGAAAGTGATGAATCGGGGTTGCATGCAAAGGTCAGAATAGGTCGGCGTACCACTGAGATCTTCGGAGACAGATAACCGATGGGCTCGATGCAAGTAAGAGCGACAAAACTAGCGATGGTGCAGACTTAGATGAGTGGAAAAAATAGTATACTCAGATCATGAACTCACCTCGCAAAGTAAGTGACGTGAGTTTCTATCAAAATCGTGAAACAGTCCATGATTATTCCTTCTGATGATTGTTGTCGCTTTTCACGGAAGTGTTTTAGAGCTATCCAGACTGCGAGGCAAAGTGTGAGGACCTCCCATGCAGTGAGGAGGATCCAAGTGGTGTAGTCCAGAACTCGTAGGACACTTCCCCTAAAAGCAACAGTGCATTCATAATTGCCAGAAAGAACGCGCTCCTCTGATATTTGCCAATGAGCCAGGTGCACTTGAATGTTTCATCCACAATCAATGCTTACCGGCTACAAAATAGCTCACCATTATTGCGATCATCACTCCGATGGCGATTCTTATAGCCAGGAAGACGACAACGAGGAATATCAGCATACGTCTGGATCTCTGGTACATGGCATATAACCGAACGATCATGATGACTTGCCTGATGTTTCAGTCAAGTCAATA